CGATTTCTTAGGGTTTATTTGTATATATTTGACTGATATTACACCTATTCTAGAAAACTCGAAGTTGGTGTGGTGGTATTTTTTGAAGTCGTTGACCAATTAGAATGTAAGCGAATGCTTGCATATGTCAGCCATTCCTATGTCAGTTCATACAGTGCAACACAGGAACAACCACGAGACTTCATCGACCTTAGTCTGATATCTGTATATGGTCTGAATGGAGCCTCAGAGAAGACATGAAATGCCAAAGATGCAAACAGTCCCTTGCCGGAAACTCTGCTACCGTCAAAATCAATCTACTGTTATTCTTTTTTTCTGCTCTGTTTCTGGAAAATCGGTCCTGGCTACGCGTATTTGCTTCGGCAATTTGAAATCCCCGATAACACTTGCCGTATCCATTGATCATTGTGACCAGTTTGTACTTTGAATAGACTTTGCAAGGCTAACCGGTGGAAAAAACTAGAGATTACAGGGACCGTTGCCCCTTATCGAAATGTTAAACTAAGGCATTATTAATGTATTGCTATCATCTACATTAACCACGTCTACCTTGTTTCATTTGGTGTCATCACATTGGCCATCGGGCTTATTGTCTTGTTGGTCTTGCGCTCTTCTTCAAGCATCCATAGACTAACGGTTAATCTTTTGGCAGTAGAGCGTAGTATAACGGGTTACGTTTCTAGAGCTCTCTCGAGTGTTAGAGTAAGTTACAAGCAGGACATTGGCTTTACTATCAACTAAATCGATTGGTGGAGAATGCCCGAGAACCCTCGGCCGGACAAAACGCGGACCAAATGGCAGAGCCCTGTTATCATTTTAGCCTCTCAACATTGCAAAGCTTGTGACATGTAGTACATTATAACAGTCGTGAGGAACTACTCATAATGAAAAGTAAAGCACGATTTCTACAATGTCGAAACCAAAGGTTCTTATCGTTGGTTGCGGCGCCGTGGGCTTAAGTCAGGGTTATCACCTCTCTGCCGGTGCAGACATCACCTACCTTGTACGGCCTGGGCGCAAACCAGCATTTCTAGCCCCGAAACAGCTCTACGCCTACAAGACGGATAAACTGCATACTTTCTCGTCGTACCGTGTCATTGAGTCGGTTGCCGAGGTTAAGGGCGAGACCTTTGCTTTTATTTTCGATACTTTGGATGGACACACCGCACGCTCTGAGAATGGAGTCGCAACGATCCGCTCCGTAGGCGATCTTATCAACGAGCCGCAGAATGAGGAGTGCTTTGTCATTTTCGATGCTGTCGGCCTAGACATAGACGAACACTACATGAGCAATCTACGCGTCCCGAAATCTCGCCTTTCAATGGCGTTAAGCATGATTGCCCATCAACCTACGCCCCAGATCTCGATACCTGCTACAGCAAGCAAAGATCTTGTAGCCAAGGCGGATATGCTGTATACTACGACGATGCCCGGTGTAGGCCTTATGATAGGCAACACACAACCCGCACTCGTCAACAAAGTCTCTGCGATCTACAACATAAATGGCGCGCTGACCACTAAAACTATTCCTGCCTTTATCATTGCCCCGTTTCAGTCCGTTGTGCTCCTTCATCTGGTCGTCTGGGACATTGGCGGTTCTGGACCGTTCTCGCACCTCCGTTCTAACAGCGAACTGTGGAGCTTGCTTCTGCGGGCTCAGACGGAAATTCTACGACTTCCACGCTACGGCTGGACGGGCTGGTTTCTTTCGCTTGTAATGGGGAGCTGGGCGACGGAGAAGGTGATGACGACACCTGCGGAAGGCTCGAAGCCGCTTGTTTATCATGAGTTCAATGCATTTCATCATGGGGGTAAAGTCGCGAAGCAGGATCTTATGATTTTGGAAGAGACACTGGATGACGGGGAGAAGTCAGGAACGAAGATGGAATCATTGCGGGAGATTGTGAGGAGGGCGAGGGCAGGGCGTTGATGAAAGCTCGGTCGAATAGTAGGAAATAGAAGTGGAGCCGATTCGTAACAGTGTAGAGACATGTGTAAGAAACCACTTTCTGCTACATCAGATGAGTATACACGGTCCTTTGGTATTAGCAGTGGCGTAGCATTATTCACTTACACCTCGCTAGATATTGGAGATGTAAGTAGATAACGCTGTTCTACTCACATGCTATTCGCCTTCTGTGCGAGTTTGTTATGAATCTCTTGCTGGAAATCCGCCAATGCCGACCATCAAACCAAGTCTAGCGTTAGAAAAGCTGCGCAGCATGTCTATCACAACGCTTCCTCTCGCTCTGCCATGCTCTCCGTCTGGCAAGACCGCAACAACCTCGTGTTCCCCAATCCTGCCTAGTCCGTAGCTGGTGCCGTCTCCCGGGGGTAAATATTCTGGTCTTCGTGCTCTTTGTCGAGACTTGTGCAGCAACGAGCTCCGTATGGAGAGCGTAGATCCAGTCAACAGTGTAGTCGTTATCCCGGGTTAACATACTCCTAAGAAGTAGAGAATCAGCAGAAGAACAGGATAGGTAATTAAAGGTTGTGAGAAGGCAAAAGAAAAGGCATGGATGACGTGGTTGTACTCGCGCCGACCTCAGCTCACTAGCACTAGCTGCGATTCAAATGCATTTCAGCTGAAGCCACAACCGTCAAGCTGAGTATACATCTTACAGCTTCTATGGGACGTATTGGAGGTGAGAAAAAAAGTGGTCGCCTATAAAAAAGCCCACTTGTCTTGATTCAAGCGTAGTCTTTCGACCCGCAATCTGGCCACAACCACCTCACGTCCTCGAAGAGCGCTGTGCTGGGTATGAAGTAATGGCGTGGCGGATTTGGCCACTCTGGCCGCTCTGGTAAGAGTTGTTTATATCGCTGGGCCTTGTTGCGCGCCATGCAATTGACAGCTGATGGGCTGAGGGGATTGTAGAAGCGGGGGCTGTACTAGCACGTGGGGGCTGCACAAGCGAGTCTCCCATGCATGCGCTGGGCTACTTAGCGCCGTCGCCAGTTTTACATATGTATACTTATCGGCTGACCCAACTTTGATAGCTCTCAAAGTATTCTAACTCCCTGCTCTTTACTACAGCCTTGCCCTGTCAATTCCACTTACATGTTTACGAGATCTCAAATCCAAAAACGCCTGGATGATTCCCTAGGCGCAGTGCCCATTATGGCTGATATCCCCTCCATCGCAACCATACTAGAATACGACCGTAAATCATCCGAAACTGATCTGTTGCACAAAAAAATGTATCGTACATGCTCTGACAATTTTTTGGCAGCTTCAACGGGAACCTGGAGATCACGCCGCTTGGACCTATTGGGTCAGAATGTAACCCTACCAGAAGTGTGCTTCATGTGAGATATGAAAAGACAAAACGGCTTGCGAATGTACGGGACTTGTAAAACTAACATAGGATGTGTTTACAGCTTCCTAAAATCGAGCAACTGGTGGGAGAAAGGCTGCTCGGAGGAAGACCGCAAAAAGATATTATTGCATTTTGATGCGCCGGATATTCTTAGCAGCAAGACATTCGCCAAGCTCAATGGCTACTGCGGTTCTAGGAGCTCTTTTTCGGGAGATGAGGATAAGAGCAAGCTTGATAGTCTCAGTGCGTCTTCCAGTTTGTTCTTTACACATTGACAGATCTACTCACCACTAACATCACAGGCGTGTGGTTCAAAATCCTCACCAAGAGAGTTCTGGAGCAAGAGGAAATGCAAGAATCAGAAGATGGAAAGGACTACAAGTGGTATGAGATGAGTTTTTTCGCGCGGTGGAATAGCTCAAGCGACCGCAGGGTCTTGTGCATCGGTGCATCACCAAAAATGAGTGCTACGCTTGAGACCGTGCTCACAGTGACTTCTTCGCCGCCACCGACCTTTGAGTCGCAAGATCCCCTTGCAATGCTTAAACCCCTGTTCGACGAGGTCATCAAATTATGTGATGATAACACATGGGCCGTGACAAAGAAGGTTCGGGATGTTGAACTTGTATGCTACTTTTTCCCAGTACTACACTGATCATTCAAGCTCACAAAACTAACACCTATTTCCACGACAAGAACAGAAAGAGAAGATGCGAGTTCGATAAACTGCGCAACCTAGCACGACACACAGGGCACATTATAGAAGTCGAACAGGTAGCCATCGAGACGATGGAGCAGCTTCTTTCTCTGCAAGAAAGCAATTTCAAGTTCCTGGATAAACTCACAAAGACATACATGGTGCAAGCGAGGGAATACCTAGCGTTTCAGTTGCAGGCGATGAAGAGCTTGAGATGGCGTGGGCAGTCGACGCATGACCGGCTGGAAGAGGAGATAAACCTGGTAATCTAGGCGATCTGTATCATGTCTTCAGAGCTGACCAGTTGTGGCAGGCCTACAACATGCTTGCGAGTTCAGACAATGCAGTCATGAAATCGATTACCCTTCTCACGATGATATTCTTACCAGCGACCTTCATATCGGTAAGCATTGCAGAAAGGTGGGCACTACTCACCCAAATTAATTACTTACTCATTCTTTAGGCACTCTTTAGCACAACGTTCTTCTCATTCGAAGAGAACGGGTGGCAGTTTTCGCCGATGTTCTGGATCTACTGGGTGATTGTTATTCCTTTGACTATCACTGTAGTTCTGGGCTGGTGGTGGTGGATTGGTGGATCGTATGAGGTTCTCCGGGACCGCTGGCTGCACGCTAGCGATCCTAAAGGTCCTTTGTAGTGATAGTCTATTAGTGGTGGCAATCTCTTTCCCCTGATAATAGAGAACATCACTCGCATGATCCCGGTCGCACTAGGCCGCTATCGCTATTCTATGAATACTCTGTCTCTCTCTTCCTCAAGTAAATGGACAAGCTAGAAATCTCAATGAAAAGATTCGCTTCAGTCCGAAATAGTGCGATACGGACAACACTGTGATCCCACGTAGAAGCTAGACCTAGCTAATAAGTATTTTAGTCTGCTTACTCCTTCTCCTACACTAGCATAGTTAGCTAACGAATCGATTGTCTAACATTATCCAGAAGATAGCTTAGCCATCTATCGCGACCACGACTAACCTTATATTACAAGTAACAAGAAGGATTCTCTCCTTAACAAATAACGAGACGGCCGAAAGCCTAGGGACGTCCACGTCAAAAGGTAATGGATCATTGCGGGGCTCGGAGTCACGTGATGTGCCATCTCGCCAAGGCCAGCCATCTGAGATGGCANTATAAAGCTTACTGGCCTTAGTGTGGGACCTGGCAAGAGAAGTATAGATCCAAACCCCGTGTAACACCTTAATCTAGTCCTCTTTGCCTGCAAGAATACCTCCCAAAGATGGCAGCGTCTCGTTGGAAGCAGTTCCAATACCAGCCCCCCGGAACTACAGTCACAAGCACTTATCAGTAGCAACAAATTTTGTAGAACAAGATGCTGATCAACAGCACATCTCGAACATGTAACATCGTTTTCACGTAAACATCCGCATCTCAGTTCTAACATCGTAAATTAGCTTTACTTTATGTTACACTCCAGACGAGCGAGAATACTCGGTATATAGTTATCTCCTTGCTCGTGAGAACTTGATGCCCGCTACAACTCGTGACTGAGACAAACACTTGGTGCAAAAAAGTCCAACCTAGGGTCAAAATGAAAGAAAAAAAGAACCGAAGTAAATTTCCGTTACCTAACTCAGCTTTCAACGACCTACGTACTTCTTCTCGAGAAATCTGAGAGGAATAAAGGTAACTAAAGTGATGACAAGTGTAATTTCATTACCGACATCACCGCCGGTGCTGCCAATCAATTTGGCGACGGGTCCAACAAACCACGTCTGATCCATGCCCATGAACCAACCAATGACGCCCAAACCAAACGATGTACCAGCCGCAAGGCCCAACGGCAATCTGCTCGGGTCATTCCACCCATCGAGGTCGTAATTGTCAAAGTTGGCGCCGCGAAAGAGGAAGTGCTCGGAGAAGAGGATGATAAAGTATGAAGTGCACCAGTATCCGAGAATGCCCAAGAAGTTCTGCAGATACGCATTGAGTTTTTCGCGTCCGCCTAGAGCAAGGCCGAGGATGCAGGCAAAGACAAGGAAGGTCCAGATGAATCGAGGGACCTTTGAGAATGGGCGAGCAAATTGCTGGCAAGAGATAGCAGCGCTGTAAATGCTGATTACAACGGTGTTGATTCCTGAAAGCACAAGCAGGGCAAGGAGGAACTTGGCGAATCCTCGTGGATGGAGGAAAGCTTGGATCAAGAAACCAATACCATCGCTTTCGTAGGTCGCCTTCCATTCTGGCTTGTTGTTGAGCGCAGATGCCACGACAGCGCCAGCGACCATGCCGATGCTAGTCGGAATCGCGATGCCAAAGGTTGTCATGAGAAAGACTTTGACTCGTGAGATGCTGGCAGGATAGTGTACGTAGTAGTCGGAGGCCATGGTGCACCACGAGCAAGAGCTGCCGTAGATGATGGCGATGAGCGTCAGGACGGCGCCAGATTGGTTGATCCCAGACACACTTGCAGGACTAGTGTTGTCGGCATATTTGCCTGCCTCGCCGAAAAATATCATAAAGATGATGAAGAAAACGATCCAAGCATATCGCTCGTAGACGAGGATCGCATTGAGGCCGACAAAGGAGATTACGAGAGCGACTACTGCCAAAATGATAATACCCACGACGAGAGAGAGGTGGCCATCTGCAACAGCGTCCAGGGCTAGACCTGCAGTGATGCAAGCGACTGCAGACCAGCCGATCTGGACGACAGCATTGAGGAAAGCGATAACCTTGGTTGGCCACCAACCGAAGCTATATCGGGAAGCGGAAATTTGTCGGAGACCAGTAATAGCGCCAAAGGTGGCTGCAAATCCAGTGAGAGCACCTCCCATGAGCGAAGCGAAGATGATGATGACAATGGACTGTTTGAGCGATAAACCGAATTCCCAGCCGAGGAAGCCAGTCGCGAAACAGGACGTGTTCATCGTGCCCGAGGCCCAGAGACAGAACATGGTAAGCTGTTCATGGAAGCGGACCGGTTTCTTCTCTTCAGGCAGCTTCCTCTTAATGGCTTCCGATTCGATACCAAGCTTGGCGTCCATGCTTGATTCGATGCTTCGAAGACGAGCGAGGATGCCGCCATCTTGCTTGACGTAGGCATTGTTGTACAGCTCAACACTGGGCGCGCTGGTGCGATCGAGGTTCTTTTCGTCGATATGAGCTTTATGGGCGTACGCACCAGCTTCCTCGTCAGACAAAGACATCTTGGGCAGACCAGTTAGGGTTTCGATGGAGGAACGAGTTGCAACTGCAAATGGGTGAACGGCGGGTTCATATCGCACGTCGGACAGCCGCGTGGCACAAGAAGCGGGGATTTCATGTGGCGACACTTGACGAGTCCGGCCCTCGTACCAGTCCGAATTTGTGCCTCTCCTCCGCGAGGGAACACGCGGCCAAGATATGGACTTGGAAATGATTGGTTGGATGGCAGAAGCTAAGCAAATTCTTATCTACACAAGATAGCTTGGCAAGAAAGCTTAGTTAGCAGAGCAGGTGCTTTTCAACTTGCTCGTGTAAGCGGATCCTCGGTCATCAAGAGTTGGTGCACGAATCTCGAATGAGAATAGTCTTCCTCTCTTGCTAGACTTTGACGATCCCAGCCTCGACAACGGCTGGTCCGAAGAACCACCGAGCTTGGCCGGGCGCAATCTGGGGGCGTTGATAACAGCCAGCGAAAATTAGCGAAATCTCGGCTCAGATGATGCGCCCACAGAATTAGAGCACATTTACACTAAATCTAATTGATTGAGAAAAGATGATAAAGGTTTAAGTATTAGACTAAATCACTAAAACATTGTAACTTCTAGGCATGGAGAAATCGGGCTAGGTTTGAAAATTAATATGGACGCTGAAGGAAGTAAAGTTCTCCAAAAAAACACGTGAGCCTGAGATTAAATTGACAGCTGCTAGATATGAAAGAGGAGGTGTTTGATAATGAGAGCTCTCGACTGCAAAAGGGAGTCAGTCGACTTAAGGACATTGAAACCTAACCCGCTATAAGGTTTCACTCAAGACTTTGCCGAACCTACAAAACAAAAGAACGAACAAATAAATCTCAGATGAAGAGAGCATCTTGATGAACATCCTAGTGTAGACAGGCCTAAGGAAGTCTTTGCGCCGATATAATCACAATGATCGAATGTTAAAAAAGCGCACCCCAAGACTCAGAAACCTCACTCGTGGTTCTTACTACCTAGTAGTACTACAGCGCCCTTCAAGCAGCCAAGTTTTGTTAACCTATTACGCATGCCCTTATCAGTCGATGGGTGCCCCACGTAATAACCCTATCCATCCCTTATCTGACACATATAATATCGAGAACCTGGGTCCATTATGCAAAAAAAAAAGTTCAAAAGGCTCTCTTATCATACGCACACGGATGTAGTTAGTTTGGAATAAAAAAAAAGGTAGTAAAGTAAGTAACAGTAGATAAATCAGAATCGCGATTGTGAAAAAAAAAGAACCCCGCTTTGGGAGTCTTTTGTGAGCATTTGCAACTTACGACGGCAAGCTTTTTATTTCTTTCTTCCGGGAAGCTTTCCGGTAAGCACACACACACACTCTCTCTCTCTCTGTCTTGTTCTCCCAGGCTGGGCTCGCGGTTACCAGTTCGCTGCAAATCCGCTATTATATCAATATCTGGCCATGATGGTTCGCAGTTGTAAAGCGCGTTGAAAAATTGGGCACATTAGTTTTCATGTGTTTCAGCGTGTGTGGCATTGGACGGGATGGATCACGCAGGCCTACCGCTCTCCGCTCTTCATGGTCCGTGTAGTATCGTCGCTGGTGCGCAAGGTATCAGTTACCAGTGGATCTACCAAAAGGTTTGCGCGAGTGCCCACATCGCCTTAGCCTGATCGTCGCAAACTTTAAGCGATGGTAATAACCATTGTGTTAGATTCGCGATCAACATTGTTATGACAAGGATTTAGAGATCTATAGGTAGTTCGCTAGCTTCTATTGTGGGGGAGGCGCTTTTGAGAAGGTGCAAAGGCAGTAACTGAGGCCGCTATGTGATTTAAATCGCATAGAAGAAGGTGGTTTCTAGGCAGAGGGGACCTTAATGGTTGTGGGGTGCGTAGTGATGTGAAGAAGCCGAAGCAGCCGGTACACGCTAAGGCGGCCGAGACACTCCGAAGGCGGTATGGGCAGTGCATTATGACTGAGCGTAATACTCTTATTTTACTTCAATAAAGCTTTGATAAAGGTGTGGCTTATGCAGAGTTTTGGGGGTTCTATCCACCGGATGATATCGTATCGCACGGAGCATCCAAATCTACTACGTTGCTTCTCAAACTAGGATATACATACACAATGGGATTGGAAGTTCTAATCAACAACTAAGGGCTTAGTCAAAACCAAATTGTTTTTATCTTACCGTATTTACATAGAAGTTTAACGTACCAGCTGCGAAGGTTAGGTGTTCTATGCTGAGTTGTGTATGTCCTTATCTCACTGGATCTTTTTGCTCTGCAAACCTAGTGCTTACTACGTACTACTCTTCCTGAGACGTTGTGACGCGTCTTCCCAGCAATTGTCAGCGGCTCCCCTTCATGTACTGTGTATGACACTCAAATGTAATCAATATGTTTCTGTAAATTGCTTCTGGGTTGGTGGATAAATCCTCGCGTCGCTCTCAAATAGAGTTCACGCAAACTCGTACTCGGTAAATAATAAATGAAGATTTCCAGTCATAACCTACATAAACAACCAAAGCCCTACACATTCTAACCCATCCACAGCAGCATTTACTCTATCATTTTTCCACGTTCATCATGAAGCCTATTGTCTTCCTCGCAGCTCTTCTATCCACCGCTATTGCGGCTAGTATCCCAGGTATAACTCCCACTCGTTCTTATCAACTACATCGCTAACTGTTTCCAAAGCTGAGCGTAGAAACTCTGACATTCTCGAACGAACACCAACATGCAATACCGGTAAGGACACCTAAACGTTGGAGGAAACCGAAGAACAGGCACCTACTAACATAAATGTAGCTAATAATCTTTGCTATTTCGGCTGTTGTGCAAACTGCGGTTGTTACGATGGTATATGTCAATGGCAAGTCATTTTTAGGGCTGAGAAAATTGGCTTATCCTTTATGTTTCTAACAAATATCAATAGCTAAACATTGTTCAATCTTCATGAGATTGTCGCTGCAATGACGCGAGCGCTGTAGGCTTGGCTCGGCTCTTCCCTTCACCCATGGTACCTCCATGTACATATTATTTTGTCTGTTATCTTCTCTAAAACACATACTCTTTGCTGTTTTTCAATTATCGGCCAAATATACATTCCTGAAAGTCATTTTGAGTTTTTGAGTCTAAATTGTGCGGCCATGACATCTACATGGGTTAGCTGAGATTCAATTGGATTTACATAAAGGACTTGCATCCTCTCAAAGAAATCATCGCTGTCATGGTCCAATGTTTTTAGCATGGTTTAACGACAAAGCACAGTTCGCCGGGATGGTTTCCTGCACCTTTGATCATCTTACCTTTCTGAGCTCCCGTTGAATCATTAAGCTATGATCCTTTTTTCGAAATCGGGTAAGTTTAGAAGACCACAATCTCCTCTCAAAGGATTAGTTGCAGCCTGCAGACGTCGCCAATGTCCTTATTTCCTTCCATGATTTCCCGCTTCGCTCAGTGTTGACTTGGAAACTTGAACAAGTGATTGTGAGAGTGTGCAACGCTGCGACCTTTTTCACACAGATAGAGGCACTTGGCGTGAGCCGTGTAGATGGAAGAGAGCATCTTCCAACCCGGCCAAAGTCAGCAAGTGCACTCAAACAAGGTCATGGTAGTAGAGGTCCAACAGCCTCAGAGAAGCACGGGAACCAACGGATTGCGTGATCAACTGGACTACAACTCAGTCAATGTATTGGCCACTAGCAATGCGATGTGATTCAACTTCTGATAGGGTGGCGAAGCGTAGCTCATACATAATTCGGACAATTAAAATTTCTGGCAAAGTCAAGCCATTCACGTAGCATGAGCGCAACATGATGCGATAGGTACGGATGGGTATCATCACATAGAACCTGCCACCCTGTTGACAAAAACACAGGGACTGCACGCGCAGACCAGATCTCACCCAAAATCTGCCCAAATCAATAAGCTGTTCAAACCTCCTTACTTTGAAGTCCTCAAACTCTGCCACGACATGATAGATTTTCCGGAAGTTCATAGCAATATCTTCCGTAGATGTTGAATTTTAGGATAAAATCCAAAGTTTATTGAAAACACATATCGAAGGGGTGCATCTGTTGATGGAGGCAATTCTAAGACGCTGTATTTTGTCAACAGGGTGCCTGTCATCACATCTTAGCGTCTGGTGGCTGGTCTTGGCGCGATGCCAACCACGTGATCTTCGCCCCGCGACGATCATGACCTGATGACATGGGCGTGGCCTTCAACCTCGTCATCCCCCGTCAAGGAGAGAATCCTTTGTGTTACTTGTAACACTACGCTATCAGCACCAACTTTGCGCAGCAGAAAAAACAATTAGACCACAAGGCAGATATATGCAATCTGAGTCTCTAGTAATTATTCACAACTCTATTAGATCTTAAATCCAAAAAACATCTCGCGATACTATTAATTGTACGCGTCTCTACAGCCTCAAGTTGCTCGCCGGGATTTCGTTAGTGCGCATGCATTGAGTGACGGCGTGCACTGTCTGCCAAGGCATGACAAGCCTGCGCTCATTATTTTTAAGCGCCGAGTTCCCACTTTTAAGGTTCGTAGAGTTCATATCCCTACGAGCATTCCGTTTGTCCTAATACTTCAGTCGAAAGTCTGTAGGCGTTGAAGCTCAGGTGCCAGGAGTAGCCGTTTTTTAGCAACACATGTTGCGGCAGCTCACGCCACGATGCCGCAGCTTGGATCCGGAAAGTCGAGGCGAGGGTGTCTACAATGTAAGCAGAGGCGCGTGAAATGCGATGAAGTTGTCCCCTGCGGCGCTTGTCGCCGACGGAACGAGCAATGCAGCTTCCTTGCGCCAAACTTACGAGCTGGAAGCTCCGACACTGCGATAGATCTGTCGATACCTTCTAACACTGAAGAGTGGGCTAATGACCTGTACGTGTGACGACCCTAATCTCTCACAAGAAATGCGAATATTTACATTGCTACTCAGGGAGTTGATGTATCACTATGCAACGACAATATATAACGTTATAGGCGTACGAGAGAATGTACTCCACCTCTGGCGAGACTATATACCCAAACAAGCCATCAAGCATCCCTTTCTCATGCACGGCCTCTTGGCTCTCGCAGCTCTTCACCTGGCATACCTCCGACCAGACCTGTCCTCGCAGTACTTGCGAACATTCAACAAACATCAAGCTGTCGTGCTTGAAAAGTTTCGTTCAATCTTGTCATCGTCTGTCGAACCCACACACGCAGATGCTCTCTTTGCGCTCGCTGCAACGTTGTCTGTTTCGTCCATGGCACGGACTTGTACTAGAATAGGCGCTGCAGCACTCAACGTGGATACAATTGCTGAGCTTTTCATCTTGACGCGGGGTGTGAAGAACATCATTGATCTGACCTACAGTCAAAGCACAACAGGTCCAATGTCCCCTCTTTTGGAGAGGCAACGCTGCCCTGAAGCCATAGAAATCATTCTGCCGCCCAGCGTCTCTGCTCGTTTTGAGGCAATTGAGCAATTTGTAGTCATGTCTGGGATGGATCAAAACGCAATTCAGCACTGTCAAACCGCTTTGACTGAACTGCATGAGATCTATCGAAACATAGCGTACATTTCAGCCACGGAAAACGTCGAGCTAGGCATCATTTCTCGATGGCAAGTGAAGGTACCTATGGATTATGTGGGACTAGTTCAAGCGCGCAATCCACCAGCTCTCATCATCTTAGCACACTATGCAGCTGCGATGACGGTGGTCCACACAGCGTGGTATACGCAAGATTGGGCAGAGTACGCCCTGCGTACTATTGATCAGACGTTGGACAGTACAATGCATCACTGGATTCGTTGGCCGATGGAACAAGTGCATGACCGGTTGGGTGACTTGTGTATCCCATCCGCTCGCTGAGAAGCAAAAATCTCAATTTTTTGACTATCTTCTGAGGAATCTAGCCGAGTGAACCTGGTTTGCCGCTCACATGGGTATAGAGCTTAGTTCCTCCTTCCATTAGGATATGCGCAATAAGTTCACTATGCCCTATGGTGTAGGCTTGCACTTCAAGCACAAGTATGTGGGGCTGTACTCTTCTCAGAATATCGAAGACTCGTGCTCAGCCAAAGTATTGAAGTCCGTGAGTGAAACTGTCCTTGAGGTTATCGGTGTTGATGTATTGCACCCTTCACCTCACTGACTCGGTGGGCTGACCTCTTATTATTGTTCAGGGGAGGGAGGGGGAGTTAACAGCCAATATTCAGGTGAGCGAGAGCAGCGTTGCCTCTTGTACGTCTACGAAAAGAACTGGATTCGCTTCTGTGGTCTTACTATTCTGCGGTGTCTTTTCGTATCACGGTTAGCGAGCATTTGGCGTCAAACCGGTATCATGTCTGAGTCCATTTAACCATAAGTTTGAACGTGATTGGAAATTCTCATATTGCCAATGAAGTTGGCGTTTAATAATTGCACGACGAGCTAACGACGGTTCGGCGCTAGATGTCAAAGTCGATACAACTCGGGCGGAAACTAGGAAACAATACGAATGACTAATCCGTCTAAGTGTAGTGGGTTGGATGCAATTGAGCGCTGCAGGTACTTGAAAATAATCTCACGCATGCCTGAGACGTAGCATTATGAGATGTTTCGGTGCAGTCGGCGAGACTTTTTTTCATGTTACAGTAATGCTTGTAAAAGGGCACCCGTGTTGCCACGCACGATAGCCGAGATGCTGCTGAATCAATAGAACTATTGCCGTCATTGCCCAGCCAAAAAGCTCTGTTGATACCGGTCGATTCGGACCCATACATTGTTTTAGCTTTCCTACTCTCGACGTTTTGTTGCAATTTTAAATCCTTCGTTTCTGACGCCATGACGTCATATTCGCCTAGAAGAAGATACATGAATGATTGTTCCTTGTAGTGCTCAATCACCGGAAATGCGACACACTTTGCCAAGGTCCCCCATCTGAATGATGATGCTATTATCCGGTGTAAAGCACGACCATTGCTTTGCTTTCTGCTCTTCTTCTTCTTCTTCTTCTTCTCTCTATTGGCCGGCTCCCATGAAGACACAAAAATTGGCGCTGAGGATCCATGTTGGTTACCGATAGGTACGATGGCTAGGGCTGAAAGCTAACCTCGGTCTTGGCACTAAAGCGGTGTATCTTCAAGTACTAGGCCGGCTCCTTTGCTGGGTAAGCAAGCTAGTGCGTTCTAATTCGTCAGACAATCTTATCTTATTACTACACAACTAGGCGGATTGACTTCTCAATTCTGAAATTAGGTCTGCATAGCCTCCGCCTGTACTCGGTCTCGGTACGAGAATCCTGAGCTCAGGCTCTCGCAACTGAAGAAGATGAAGATGAACCTGTGGCTGTAAAAGCGCAATTACGTAGATTCTGGCACTGTCCACGAAGATCTGACTTAGCATGTGGAGATATAAGTATATGCACCATAAATATCCGGCCGTATGCCATATAACCAACACTCCATTCAACTCACCACAAAGACCTCTTGTAATCTCTTAGCAGCTCTTAGCAACTATTACCGAGTAAAATTTTCAGAAGCGTTCATGATGCTGTTCCGAAACAGTGCGGCTGTTGGGTTGCTATCGCTGCTACTCGATAATGTGAATGCACAAGCACCTACTGTTCGTAACAATACTCAAATCATCACCGGAATCAAACCGGCAAGTAATCCCTCCATCTTATATGTATCTATCTCTTATCTTCTTCCAGTGCGATGCCCTTATTTCGGCGAACTTATCTCACATCGTGCACTTCCCATCTTCCCCTTCCTACCCGAGCCTCGTTGAAAACTCTTGGACCAAGGAAACACAGAGAAGCCCTTACTGCTTCGCTGTCCCGAATACCCCCACCGAAGTTTCTCAAACTCTGCTCGCCCTCCAGTCGGCCGGTAACGGCACCGGCGACTGGCATATAGCTATTCGTAGCGGCGGACACGGATCTGATAGCCAGAATAGCATTACTGATGGCGTGATACTCGATTTGAGTCATCTAAACGCTACGACCTATGACGCTGCTACCAAGGTCGCGAGCGTTGGAACAGGGGCGCGGTGGGGTAACGTATATTCAGATTTACAAAAGCAAGGAGTTAGCGTTACAGGCGGCAGACAGAGCATAGTGGGTGTTGGTGGGCTCATACTTGGTGGTGGCGTCGGATGGACCACACCGCGAACTGGATTTGCCTGCGACAACGTGGTCAATTTCGAGGTAGTGCTGGCCAGCGGTGAGGTTGTTAACGCGAATGCGTCTGCCCACTCTGATCTGTGGCGTGCGCTGAAAGGGGGAAGCTCCAATTTTGGAGTCGTAACCAGGTTTGACATCAACACATTCCCGGCTAGCAATATCACGATTGAAAGACGAACCACAGGGCCTGAGTATACGGACCAGTTTATGGCCGCAATCATTGATTTCACAAATCTGGATCAGTCGTTTGACGAAAACGCAATGGTTTGGGTCATATCCTACTTCCCTGGAGTCGGCCTTACCATGACAGCAACCGAAGTTAATACCGTCAATAATGCGAATACCACATCATTCGACAAATTTCACGACATTCCTTTGATTTCTACAACTGGTAAAAAGTCGTACACCCTGCCGGATGCTGCCGCAATCGACGCTCCTGAGTTGGGCAAGAACCCGGATGCCGTGTAAGTAAATTCTGACTGCGCGAATGTGACCTTGACAGCTGAAAATATAATTTTAGAAACGTTGGAGCTGGAGCCGTCACGATTGCTAACGATCCACGGGTTTTACGCTACTGTTTCGAACAGCATATTGAGCTCATCGCTAGCCTCAACGCTACTGTTGGAAAAAATTTTAGTACGATAATCGAGATGCAACCACTCCCTACGTACTTTTCAGACATTAGTGTACAGAAAGGAGGCAACATGCTTGGACTTGAACAAGACGGTCGCAACAAGCTTTACTTCGCTATGGCTGTCATTTTAACGACCCCAGAAACTATCAAGCTGAAACCACAGGTGTTCCAAATACTGTCAGCAACTGTTCAAAAAGTTATAACATACGCAAAGACAGTTCAAGCAAGCGAGGAATTTATCTATCTGCCTTATGCAAAGGCAGGCCAAGATCCGCTTGGGAGCTATTGCTCTAACAACGTCCACTATATGAAAGAAGTCTCAAAGCATTACGACCCAGAGCGCTTTTTCCAGCGGATGGTGCCTGGTGTTTTCAAGATTGATAGAGTTGATTGATAGAAATCTTCGGGTTACAGGTTCTGAAAATCTTGAGAGATTAAGGAACAATATGGGACTTCCTCAGAGGTATCATGGGTTAATTTGGTTATTATCGTTGTCAGATTTGAAGATGTTTTGTAGAATTGTGGTTTTCATGATTGTACTCAGACTTTTACCCTCATTTAGTTTGACCAGCTATAGATTCTTCAAGTACACCACTCAAAGCATGATGATGAGTTGGGTATGTATTCCAAAATTCTCAGGCCGCGCAACAATGTCGTATCGGTCAGAAGTTTTCCCTTATGCCTTGCAAGCTCATATTGGGCAAGGTGGGGAGGAAGCATGGAAAATTTGTTATAGCCTAGGCAGGAAAAAGAGCGAGCTGCGTGTGATGGAGCTAAAGAGTTGCTATCCCGTGAAAATGTCGCAATGCTCCAAGGTGTCACCAAGCGTTATATGGGTCCACCTCAGCATGATCTCTGGAAACCACGAGTAGGGAACAAACATATTGACATGTTCAGCACAGCCATGATTGCACAGGAAGTCAATGTGCCCATCGTCCAGTCTCGTCAACAGCTGTCGAAAGTTTCTGTGACAAGTATGGTCCGGACCCTGGCCAACGCTCACAGCGGTTGAAGGCGACACGAATGACAAAATCATCAGCGAGCGATGAAAAAATTGATGAATAACGCTCCGTCATTGATTCCAGAGAAGGAATCACAAGTGGTGATTTCAGCCGTCCAGCTATTCGCGACACACCTCCAGATGCACGCGAAGTAATCAACATTTATGATTCAGAGGAGGAGGAAGATGACACTAGTGGCGATGTTGTAATCCTATCGAGCCTGATAGGGATAGACGCATTATCTGATTAGAGCAATAGCCACCTAACTATGAAGGCATTGCTTGAGTGAGAAATTATGACAACGCAAAGAAACTTCGACCTGCAAGCAGCTTATCATAGCAAAGAGTAGAGAAAACAAGCAAATGAGTAAAGAACAGCCAACATAATGAGGCAAGAGATGCGCTGATGGGTTTCCAGTCTTTTGTCCTTACAGCTGTTGTGATGCATTAAATAGCCCTGTGATTGTGTCACAGAGCATCCGACTGATCATGTCCGCGTTTTCCATTGTTATGATGTGAGTGTTGGCACTAACCACAAGTTTCAGCCTGCCGTTTTGCGGATGAGACATTACAGTTAAGATATCAGACACCATATGAGGGTTTTGAAACCATTTAAGTCGCCCGGTTGTACCTGGGAAGTCGATCGTTGGGTTCTCGTCAATGTTTTGGTGCTGAATCACTGAGTCGAACATTGTGCCGGCTGGCCAGTCTGTACAGCTTTGAGCTATGTCCTTGAACCCCATGGAATCCGATTCTCCAAGTGACGTGTATTGATCTTGAATAGAACATGCGAGTTCGGTCAATGTCTTGGATGGCAGAACTTGCGCGCGAACTGGAATGACGTTTACGCAAGGTCCAACAATCTCTGAAATGTAGGGGACATTAGAGTTCCGGCCAGCCACTATGGATGCGTATGTGACATCTTCTTCCCCAGTGATGTGTGAAAGTATCATTGCCCAAGCAGCACTGACAACCGAAGCTGTCGTCAAGTTCTTGGGAAGCTTCGGCATGTTGATGATTCTTACAACGTTTATCCCACTTTGATCGTTACTTTCTGGCACGCGAGGACAGAGCAACGAAGTAATTTTGATCATATTCGAGCCTTGAAGCAGCCTGCGCCAGTACAGCTCCGAAGCGGGACGTTGACTCTGTGCATACGCCAAAAAGGTTGAAAAAGGGTATGAAGGACCAAGAGGCTTTCTATTGTAGATACACGAAAGCGTGTCCAAAATCTTGGGGAGACAGACTCCATCGTATTGTGCATGGGAAAGGCGAATGATTAAACGATGCTCCCCGTCAGCACTCTTGATAAACATGAAGGATGTTGGTAGTTCCGTCGGAGATGATTGTGCAATGTCATGCGTACAGATAACATCTGATGCTTTCTCCAGCGGTTTGGAAAGTTCAAACTCGGAAAATCGGAGACCAGGGCTGCGAAGGACGACCTGCCAGAGGTTGCCTTCGAGATAGACGAACTTTGTCCGGAGCATTGAAAAATGTTGAACCAGAGTAGAGCAAGCATCTTTGAGACGAGGAATATCGACTTCATAGCCCATATCCAGGAAAAGATAGTTGAAGGCTAGAGGTCGAGATCTGATACCTCTAGAAATTACAACGTGTTGCATGTGTGTCGCTGGAAGTATGTCGGAGACCTCGGTGCTACACAAACTCTCATCGCTCTTCAATAGCTCGGAGAGAAGGTGATCTTGTCTTGTTGAGGATAATAAAGAGAAGGGACTGGGATTTACCAGAGCTGGTTGTTGCTCTGGATGTGCAAGATGAACAACAGACGACAGCTTTGGATTGCGAAGGAGGTCCGCAACATTCAGTAGAATAGACTGTTTTTTAGCTTCGCCGACGAGCTTCATGGCGGTAATAGAGTCACCGCCTAGGCGGAAGAAGCTGTCATCTAAGCCGATGCTGCCCGCCTCAATGCCTAGCACTTTTGCCCATAGATGCTGCATCGTTAATTCAGCCTGTGTTGTAGGCTGCCGCTTTGGACCTTTACTACGCGTACGCATCTCCACTAGCTGTTGAGCCGAGAATGAGGCCCCAATCTCCCGCAATCGTCTCCGATCAGTCTTTCTGGATGCTGTCATAGGCATCTGTGCAACAGAGAAGAATACTGTAGGTACCATATACTCTGGTAGTCTCTCAGTCAGTCTCTTGTCTACTCCATCTGGGAGGACAAATTGTGCTGTCGAGTCGTTTCTGGTAGTGTTGCCTATGAGCTCAGCATGCTGAGTGTTGCTTTGGAGATGTAAGAAAGCTGCTAGCAGTGGCTGGCTTCCTTGTCCCGATGGTTGGATAGCCTCGACTGCTAGCTGTTTGACTCCAGGTATACATTCGTATAGACAGTGTTCGATCTCACCCAACTCAATCCGTTGCCCACGTATCTTGACCTGGTTATCTTTTCGTCCAATATATGTCAAGGTGCCATCTGAGTTGTTGTAGTGAACTAGGTCGCCTGTCTTGTATAACTTTCCTGGTCGGCCTGGATAGTTTTTGCACCCTTCTAGTAGCCAGATGGGATCATGTACAAACACGGAGTTAGTCATCTCTTCATCCTCAAGGTATCCACGTGCAAGGATTGGGCCTTCAACCAAGAGCTCCCCAACACACCCTAACGGTACTAGCATGTTGTGATTTTCAGGATGTACAATCCAGCTTGTCGAAGCAACCGATTTTCCAATCGTACCTGAGTTATAGTCTTCCTTCTTCGCATGACAGGTACAGATGATACAGCATTCTGAAGGCCCATATCCGTTTATCATCTGCACAGAATGTGGCCATCGATTCCAATCTGCTGGGGTGACCTGCTCTCCTACGAGAACCAATGTTTTGAGAGATGGAATGGATTTTGGATCCAGTAGCCGCGCAACTGAAGAAGTTAACATCGCCCAGTTAACGTCCATCTTATTCATAGCTTCTGCTAAACCATCTCGCCGTTCGCTCTCAGACGGTACACATAGACATCCACCATGCACGAGTGTGGTAACAATCTCCGCCATAGAAGCGTCGAATGTGTAAGTTGAAAATTGAAGAACGCGGGTGTTATGCGACATGCCAAATGCTCTTCCGTGACCTAAACAACTCGTTGAAAGCGCCTTGTGTTCTAAAATGATACCTTTAGGCACACCAGTACTTCCTGAGGTGAAGATAATGTACGCTGTGTTGTGTGGCTGTACCCTGCTTCCGTCTATTTCGCTGGATGGCAAGCGACTAATGAGGGCCTCGCTGACTGCAACAACATTGCCAGCTAAGTCCAAGTCTTTCCACATTGTTGCATGTTGTACTGATGTAAGCACAACCTTGGCGTCTCTCTGCTTGAATGTCTGCTTGAGAATCATCTTGTGTCGGCTGGTTGGGTGATCTGGATCTAGCGCCACAAACGCTCCACCAGCTTTGAGTACTGCTAGCATGGCTACGACTGTCCAGATAGACTTTTCGAAGCATAGCGGCACTATGTCTTCAACTCCCACTCCTAGATTAACAAGATAACCTGCGAGCTGGGTTGACTGCCTAGCTAGCTCGCTGTAGGTCATCTCACCATCCCATGCGCAAATAGCGAGCGCAGAGGGCCGCGCCTTTGCCTGTTCCGCAAATAGCTCGTGCACACATCGACTGGTCGCCGCTGGTACCGTCTGGTTCCATGTCCACAGCTGCTCCCTATCTTCGGGCGTCGTAGTGTCAATCTCAGCAACCTTTGTGCCAGCATCGGCTGCGGTAAGCTGCTGTATGACAAAGCTAAGCTGATGTAGCATCTTTTCCATCCGCCAATGGTTAATTACTCTCGCATCGAAGCTGGCCGTGAATCGCAACCCCTTTTCAGTAGGCGTACACTGAACCATAAGCGCATATGTAGTGAAGCCCTGTAGCCCTGATACACTCTCCCATATCCCAAACTCATTATTGACCTCTAGTTCGTCTCCAGTCGGCTGAACGACCAGTAATGTCTGGAAGCCGCAAGCATGCTGTGCATCCAGGCCTAGTTTTGCAATCTGTTGCAAGCCTGTCTGTTCATACGGGATCATGTCAGTTGCCTGCTTCTGTACTAATCCAAGAAACCTTTGCACGCTCCATTCTTTACTATCTATGCGTATTCGCACGGGCACTGTTGCGATGGTCGGGCCAATTATATCTTCGATGCCAGCCACAGGTGCGTTGCGGCCATTTACTGTAGCACCAAATACCACGTCATCTAAGCCAGTATACTGGCTAATAAGGATAGCCCAGGCCGCGCGGATAGTAGCGGAAAGTGTCGCGTCAGATGTCATCCTAGGAAAAGATGGGCATTGATACTCCACAATCGCGTCTGCAATTGGTGGTTGCACGCCAGGGACAAGTGGCGGAAAAGGCGTAGTAGCCGTGCAGCCGCCTAGTGCAGCCTTCCAGTACGTTGCGGTAGCATCCTGGTCTTGCTTGCTCAGGTACTTGATGAAGGAGTTGAAGCCAGGCTGTTTCCTCAAAACTCCACCATCGTAGATTGTTCTGACCGCGCTCACGATGCGAGGAACCGACCAGCCATCGTACAAAGCGTGATGGATCGTCCATACAAACCAGCGCTTCTTTGTTTGCTGATCGCGGACCAGCGCAAAATGTACGAGCGGCTGCCCAAGCTCTATAGGTGATGATTGACTTTGATCCAGGTATGTTGCTAGGTTGTTTGCCACAACCCACTCTGGTTTCTCTGCCAAGACAGCTTGTAAGAGGCCCAGTGTGCTGTGTTGCAATATCCTTGTACGCAAAACTAGTAGAGATTGAGTAACCTCTTCCCACGCAGCGCGGAAAGCATCCTCGTTTGCATCCGCCCGCAGCTCCAGCACGCACTGCATGGTGTAGTCGCCAGCGTGCTTCAATGTCAATGACAACATACCCTCCTGCAATGGCGAGCATGGATAAACATCCTCAATAAGGTTTGGATCTATATTGCAGACAGCTGCTACCTCTTTGCATACTTGCTCTGGGTCTACGCTAGGATCCAGCAGAGAGAATGGAGCAATGTCGCTACCAAGGATAGGAGCACATTGGTTAGCCCGAGCTGCCATCTCTGCAAGCTTGGGATACTGGAAGATGTTCGCGACTGTGGTCCCCACTTGTTTCTCACGAGCCACGGCTACCAACTTCATAGCGGTGATGGAGTCGCCACCTAGGCGGAAAAAGCTATCGTCCAGGCCGATGCGGCTCGTCTCGATGCCCAGAACCTGTGCCCATAGCTGCTGCATCGTCCGTTCGGCCTGCGTCCTTGGCTGCCGCTTCGTGCCTTGAGTGCCTCTTGTTTTGAGTTGTGCTTTCTGAGTGAGCGCCTTCCGGTCCACTTTGCCACTCGCGTTGATTGGGAGCTTTTCGAGGACATGAATAGACTTCGGGACCATGTATTCAGGGAGTTGGAGCCGCACGGTTTCTTCCAGTTGATATCGCACTTCTTTGACAAACCGCCGGTGCAACGGTCTGTTACTAAATGTGTGTTGTGGTCGATCCGCGTGGTCGCTAGGGAACTCAAACAGCGCTCGAGATGGTTTATCATCAGGCTGACAAGAGTAGAATATGCAGTCTAACCCCCCGCGCTGAGAGTACTGTCTGCTCCAGCTGATCTCCACACGGCAGCCAGCCTCTTCAGCTATATCCATTAGATCCGTAGCAGACAGACACGGTGTTTGGTCGGCCTGTTGGCGAACTGAAGAAATCCATTCTCTCTGGACTGGCGTTTGGCTGTCCAGGGAGCTTAGAAGGCATCGACTAAAGATGGTCTTGCTGTGTGGAATATTGCTGACGGCTACAGTGTGCGCGCTAGAGAGATTTTCTAGTCGCTGCAAAAGAGATGAACGATTCAGTTTTTGTGTCTCGAAATCAATCCACTCGCTTTCAGCGACACGTCGCACCTCTTTGCACAGTGCCCTTCCGTACTTGGTGTGAACAATTGCAGTGTAACGGTAGCAGCTTAGCTCGTTAGTTGCCTTCATCTTCTTAGGCTGGATCTCTACTTGTTCAACAAGGCCAGGTAGACGACTTGGTAGAGAAGTAAAAAACCCAGGATCGACTAGCAGCTCGCGCTCAACCTGCTCCATGTCTTCCATTATACGCAGGATGTCTTCTTTCCCCGCCCCATCACCCGCAATCTGCAGCGCTCTCATCGCCAGGAACTCTCGGTGCAGCGCATGAGATCGGATGTCACCAAAGAATAGCATCTTTATACCTTCAATATGGAGTAAATCTTCTACTACACGGAATAGATATTCTTGGCTCGGGAAGTACTGCACGACCGAGTTTAGAATAGCTAGGTCGGCCGTAAGAGGCCGTTCTATGCGATTAGTGTCCGTTGCTGTGGCCTGGTACATGCGCACCTTGTTTTTGAACGAAGGGATACACCTAGCTGTCTCCATGATGAAGCTGACGGCCTTTTCAGACGGATCGAGTCCCACGTAGCCCTGCAAGCTGTCCCTGAGATTGAAGAGAATCATCCCAGTACCTGAGCCGATCTCTAGGATGTGCCTTGGCTCGCCATTAGTAATTGCAAAGATGGCACGAATGGTTTCATCTAGCCACTCGTTCATCTCAGCCTTGTCAATGTCGCTCCCATCGTACATGGATGTCCAGCCAACGAAGTCTCTTCCAACAGTCTCAGGTTTGATGCCGTCGATTAGAGCGTAAGTCTCGGAATCGAAGCGCTCTTCCCATGCGTTGACATGCTGTAGCTGGCGGCTGTCTTCAATCGGATCCTCGGTCATCGTAGCTTCTTGCTTAAGCGTGACGTAGCCAAAAATCGCGTGGTCGCTTTGGTCCTTCTGTGCCAACACCACCGCGGCATCGCGCACGCATCTGTGGCTACAAAGGACGCTTTCGATTTCGCCAAGCTCAATGCGGTGGCCTCGGATCTTAACCTGCCCATCCATGCGGCCAAAGAATTCAAGTTGTCCGTCCATGGGTCGCTGCCGTACATAGTCGCCAGTCCGGTAGGCTCGTATTGTAGTGCCGCTAATAGTAACCACAATGAAGCGATCGATGTCCTGCCTAGAATCTGTGTATCCCCGTGCAAGACCGTCTCCAGTTACTACTAGCTCGCCGATAACGCCAAGTGGCACAAGCTGCTGCTTAGAATCCATAACATAGGCGCCCGAGCTGCTGATGGCTCTACCGATAGGCACACCATTTACAAACTTCTCGTTTTCGGTCAAAATATACAACGTGCTCATGACCGAGTTCTCAGTCGGACCATATGCGTTAGCTACCTTACCTTTCACCAAGCTCTGTGCTGCCAACATATCTCCTGGGTCAGCTCGATCTCCAGCTACAAGTAGCACGTCAAGTGCGCCAATCGTGCGCGGGGATGCGGCTAGAGAGAGTTTGAGGAGAGCAGGGGTGAAAAAGGCGATCCGAATACTATGTCGAGTAAAGACTTCGAGTAAGGCATCCTGATCTAGCACAGTATTGGCATCGATGCAGACAAGAGTACCGCCATTTAGAAGACATGTGTATATCTCCCATGACGATCCGTCGAACGCAAGGTTTGCCATGTGCGCTGTAGCTTTGGTTGACTGGAAATCTGTGATGCGATCATGTTGCGCCATGCGCACAATGCCGCGGTGCTCTACCATGACCCCTTTGGGCCGGCCAGTGGAGCCTGAGGTAAAGATAATGTAAGCAATACTGTTGGCGGAGGGTCCTAGACTGTGATTGCCTTCCAAAGTACCCCGGACAAGACTGTTGTCAGTGGCCCCGTTTAGCATGTCGGCGATGCGTACGAACTCGACATTTTCTGATGTAAGAACAGGAATCTCAACATCCATGCCAACTAGTACGAGTCTCTGCCCTTGGAAAGATGATAATATAGACTCCGTACGCTCTGCTGGTGATTTCGCATCCAAAGGCACGTAGGCTAATCCTGCTTTTAAAATGCCGAGAAAGGCCACGATCGTCTCACAGCTTCGGAGTGCAAGAACACCTATCGCAGTTTCAGGAGTTAGTGCCCTTGTTGTGAGCGCTTGAGCGAGTCTGTCTGACTGGATATCCAACTGGTCGTAGGTCATCTCTCCACGTGTATCCTTAATCGCGACCTTGGAAGACCACGCAGCAGCTTGCTCGCGGAAGACGTCGACGATGTTTGACGCTCGAGTGCCAGGCTTGTCGTCTACTTGGAGCAGCTTCATCTGGTCGAGCTGAGCGTATGTCTTGTTAGTCATAAGCTGCGTCGATGCAATCTTTGTCTCAGGTCTGGCAAGACATTGGTCGAGCAAAGTCTCAAAAACAGATCCTAGGCACGCTATCGTCTCCGGAACAAACAGGTCTTCTGAAAAGTATATGTAGCCCTGTAGGCCGCTTCTTTCTTGGAAGAAGTGGAATTCGAGATCGAATCGCGAAGTAGTGGCAACGTCTATGATATTGGTGTCGACACCCTCTAGCGTAAGCTTACCCAGGTCTTTCTGCGTGTGAAGCGCGAAGGCGACTTGTGCGAGGGGGTTACGAGAGATATCTCTATCTCTTTGAAGCGTAGAGACAACACTCTCAAAAGGCACGTCTTGGTTAGCAAGCGAAGCCACTACCGTGTTATAGACCTGCTGTACGAGTTCTTTAAATGTTTCGTCGTCCTCAACTTTAATTCGAATGCACTGCATATTTACAAAGAATCCTATCATGTCTTTAAGTTCCCATTGGTCTCGGTTGGCATTAGGAGTGCCAATTGTTGCATCTTCTTGGCCAGTAAGACGATAGTGTGCAGCGCGGAAAGTGGCAAGTAGTACGACAAACGGAGTCACTTCATGTGTTCTACAGAACCGCCGCAGTTTGCTGCAAACCTGACCGTCAATTCTGATCTTGTGCACACCCGCCTTGCCAGACAGGGTCATTGGTCGAGGCTTGTCGCACAAAAACTCTGCTGGGCGGCTTGATTGCAGTTCGGCTACCCAATATTCAAGCTGTTTCTGATATCCTTGCATCTGCTCTGGCATTCTTTGCCAGGCTGAAAAATCGCGGTACTGGACTGGTAGAGGCGATAGCCGCGAGATCAGGTTCTCGCCACGGACAGCAGCAGCGTAGAGCACAGCCAGCTCTTTCTTCAGAACATCCAATGACCAGCCGTCAGAGACGATGTGATGCATTACAATGGATAACACGTGTTCCTGTTCGTTCAGTCGGTAGATGCGCACTCTCCATCCTGGCTCGTTTTGCAGACAGAAAGATGTTGTCTGGTCTTCCTGCAATGCATCTAGGAGATGGTGTTTGTCATTTGAAGGGACTTCAATGACAGTAACGTCTTTTTCGTCAGAGAATTGATGAACGAGCTGTACGCCTGTACCATTGTGAGTAGAAAAGGTCGTCCGCAGCGTTTCATGTCGATGTTCTATTGTCCGCAGTGCAGCCTTGAGTGCATCAAGTTGAAGAGGGCCATTGATGCGTAGTGCAATTGGCACAAGATACCAGTGCAGACCCGGGTGTAGCGCCTCCAGGAACCATAGCCGATTCTGAGCAAAGGACTGGGCGACTGGCCCAGAATATTCGCCTCTTGTGATGGCACTGAGGCCAGTCGAGAGGTGATGCATGGTCTGGTTGGCTAGATGGCCTAACCGTGGAGCGTGGAAAATGTCATAGACTGTTAGATTGAGACCGAGGTGGCGTGCTTCGGCGACGAGCCTCATGGCGCTGATCGAGTCACCTCCTAGGCGGAAAAAGCTGTCATCCAGGCCGATACGGCTCGCCTCAATGCCTAGCACCTGTGCCCATAGCTGCTGCATTGTCCGTTCCACCTGTGTCTCTGCAGGTCGCCTACTAATGCCTCGGCTGCTCGTACGCATCTCTGCTAGCTGCTGGATTGAGAGCGATGCCCCAATTTCCCGCAGTTGTCGCCGGTTGACCTTGGTAGATGTTGTCATCGGAAGTTTTGCTATCGCAAAGTACACTTCAGGAACCATATGGCTTGGCAATCGCTGAACCAACTCTATGTCAGTGTCGTCCATACGGGCCAATCGCATGGCGGGATTGCTTCCGAATGATTCGCTGACATGATAAGTGCCACATGTTTCTTCATCCAGCTCCAGGAAAACTGCTACCATAGCCTTATCCGTGTCACCCGCTGGTGAGATTACTTCAACTGCCATCTGTTTAACCTCAGGCATGCATTCATGCAGGTGATATTCAATCTCGCTAAGCTCAACGCGCTGACCCCTGACTTTAACCTGACTGTCTTTACGGCCTATATACATCAGATTGCCATCTGTGTTATAGTAGACTAGGTCGCCCGTCTTGTAAAGCCTTCCTTGTCGACCAGCAGAGGTTTTAGTGCCATTCAATAGCCAGGAGGGGTTGTTAATAAAGGCAGCCTCTGTCTTCACTACGTCGTTGAGATATCCACGCGCTTGGATCGGTCCCTCAACTAGCAATTCGCCGATCGCACCAAGGGGGACGAGCTTGTTACAGTCGTCTGGATCGACGACCCAGCTGACTGAAGCAATAGGTTTACCAATGATTCCTGGCTTGTAACCTTGAGCACCATTAGTATACGAAGTACACCAGACTGCACACTCTGTGGGACCATATGCATTGATTTGCTCAACGCTATCCCCCCATCTTTCCCAATCAACAGCATTTACTCGTTCTCCTCCAAGAACAAGTGTTCTTAGGGATGGGGTTTTTTGAGGATCTAGTAGGCGTGCAACAGTTGGGGTAAGCTGTGCCCAGTTTACATTCATGGTGTTGATTGCCTCTGGTAGAGCATTCTGCCGATCGTCTTCAGAAGGGATACAGATGCAACTGCCGTGTAATAGCGGTGTGATAATCTCAGCTATACACGCATCAAACGTGTAGGTGGCGAATTGAAGGGCTCGGGTATCTGGTTTGAGCCCAATTGCCTTCCCATGGCTTAGACAGCTTGTAGAGACTGCACGATGTTCCAAAACAACACCCTTTGGGATTCCAGTGCTTCCGGACGTGAACATAATATAGGCAGTATTACTTGGGTTGACTGTAGCCTCTTTCATGTTTTCGGTAGATGACAGCTGACTGACGAAGGCCTCACCAATCGGAACAACATGGCGAGCTGGGTCCGGCCACAACATCGCATGTTGCACCGATGTGAGGACTAATTTAGCCTCTGTCTGCTTGAAGATCTCCTCGTGTCGACTGGCTGGATGATCAGGATCTAGTGGCACAAAAGCCCCGCCAGCTTTGAGTACTGCTAGTATAGCTACGATCGTCCACATAGACTTTTCGAAGCATAGCGGCACTATATCTTCGGGTTTAACTTCTAGGTTGTGGATAAGATGATTTGCTAGTTGGCTAGATAGCCTGTCTAGCTCGTCGTAAGTCATTTCGCCATCCCATGCGCAAAGAGCTGGAGCAGTAGGCCGTGCCTTTGCTTGTTCTGCAAACAGCTCATGCACACATCGATCCACTGCTGCTGGCAAGATCTTTTCGTTTATTGCCCATATCTTCTCAAGATCCTGGGCGCTGAGGTTTGATAGTTCTTCTTGGCAATCTCCCATCACGCGATAGGTTACTGTGACTTGTCAGAGCGTTATTCCTTGTGTTGATGCTGTTGGTAATATACATACAATAGTTTGATAGATACGAATATGAGGTCTTACTATTGTTGAAATTCTTACCAGGTTTAGCTGATTACTTATGTACTCGTTCTTAGGTGTATCAGCTAGGTTGCTCTGTCTATAACAGAATTCCTCCGAGGATTGATTAGTTAGATGTCAAGGATTTGTCAGTGTGTACTGCTGTTGCAGCCGCGTCAGCGTTGGTCTACCAGCATGCGCTATTGGATATCCCAATAAGCTGTGCTCTTCTTCTGGGAAAGGCTGGACATGGTTATGCGTCTGCATGGATAAGGCTGGCTACGTCCATTCACATACGTATCTACTATGGGCAAGCCGCTCGATGTGCTTAACAAGAGCATGAAATGTTCAAGGAACAGCGTTTTGTCTGACCGCTCAGAATATATCTACAGAAGCTTGTCGCTAAAGCCGTTTCCGTCTGCACTTACGCTAGAGCCTACTAGCAGAAAATGTGCGCAGTGTGCCCATGGTCAAATGCTTCAAGTCCCAGTTCCCCTCCTAGGTCTACCTGCCTCAAGCCTGCTTATGCGTGCCTCTACTCAACCATTCAAATCAACAGCATTCAAAAGAAATATCCTAATAAGCAATACTCCCTCTCAACTATGATAACAAGGTAAAGTCTAAGCATATAAGACGGCAAAAGCATGGTGCCCCTGTTCCAGCAGACTAGGATTGGTGACGTGTGCAAACGTCAATGGCGGAAATTGAGAAATTTAAGCGTTCGTCCCGTTCGTAGTAGCGCTGAGAGATTGTGGCCGTGCTTTCCGGTCTTCCGGTCATTTTCATACCCAGACCGATACCTGGGCGGGAGGCGGGAAGTTGGAACACATACTGAAAGCCAATCAGATTCTAATGAAATGAATTGAGTTTGTGATGGTTCAACGCTGGGCCGCGTACCAATTGCTAGCATGCGCCTACATACTACTAGTTGGTTTTATCTCTACCGTCTTGGCAGGCGAATAGCGGCTTCTCCTAGCAATCCTCCAACTCATTCTTGCCAGGACTAGTAAGCACTAATGGAAACTGTCGTTTAGAAAATTATTTCACACCGCATCGCTAGCCCTACTATGCGTAAAAAAAATGACTTGACATGTAATGAGAGGATATAGACTTCCTTGCGCTATGAAATCGATCTTGTCGAATTTTGAAGTAGTGGCGGATGTCGCTGCAGATGCGGCGCTTCTGACAGACGATACCATGCTTCTACACCGTAACATGCTGTTCCAAAACCACTGCCATCACTCATAAAACGAGGTAGAGTATATCACGAGAACCGGTGAACGGACGTTATCGCCAAGCGCCAAGCTTTCAGTTGGCGGGAGACGCAAGCAGTCTCTAAGACACCGCATCCTGTTGTTCGAAAACGGGATTTGATTGTTTAATATGATTCCTTGTCTCACTATCTAACTGTGTCAATTTTGGCGTCACGTCGGACAGGTGTTGAAACTCGCAAGCCTATGCTATCTTAAGCCCACCTATACATTGTTTTGTTATCTTGGTGGCTTACGACAATGTTATTTATGGATATATGTAAATACAACATGAATAAACTTGGAGAATGTTCTGCTTTCAACATGTTTAGATGATCGTGAGTGATTATGAATGATCATGAAGTACCATTGCATCCTGGTTGGTATAAAGATTAGGGAACCCTTGCTAGTGCTTAGTATAGCAACCCTTTTTCCAAAATGAATCAACGGAGAGAGTTTCTGTTGATAAATAAATCAGCACATAATGCCAGGGCGGATTGCTACGCAAGGAGATCTCGGCCGGCACGGCTCCTTCCGGCCCAGTTTTGATGCGATCCAAATACTCACATATCGCTCTATATGTTTTGATGTATCATGTACTGCATACATTTAGGGCCTGTTCGGTTGCGCGGTTGCGTTTTGCGTTTTTGATACCTACTATTCAGGTATAGAGCTTCCGACAGGGAGACCTAGTGCTGCGGTTTGACTTTTCCGAATCGGGATAGAAGATAGAGGGGCGGTTTAGCTGGCGTTTTGGCGTTTTGATTTTCTA